CCTCTTTGTAAATGAAGAAAAATCAAACCGAGAGGACCAGTGGTGTTGAACGGCTGGCACATCTGTTTCCTGGTCGGCTTGTCAGCCATCTGCCCACGAGGTGCCCAGGCTGATGAGGTTAATGCATTTATCAGTGGGGCTTACGAGGCAGTTCTGCGGATCTGTTCTTTCTTTCACAAGGAGCTTTTTTTAATATACAAAGACAAGGACCACACTGCGCAAAGCTGAGCAGGGCCAGGTAAGCATGTCTATGTCCTCTGGATCCATATCAGAGGGCATCAGAAACCCCATGAGAACGAGGTTGTGTGACACTTGTATTTCCTGCTTACTGCAACCGTTCACCTCACCCCCAGCTTTCTTGATGCCAGAACTGTCTTGAAAATATTTCTGAAGGATTATTTAGAGCCCAGACAGCAATCCTCTACCTCCTAGCACATCCCTAGCCCTCAACACAGAGTCTAGTGGAGGGAAGGTGTGTTGTTACTATGAACACTGCATTGGAACCAACTCATAGCTGACCCTCCAGTGGGCTTTCAGAGGCTGTAAATCACACGGGAGAAGATTGTACTTCATTCTGCTGTGGAGCAGCTGGTGGATTCAAACCTCATGCCTTTGGATTGGCAGCACAACTCATTACCACTAAACCACCAGGGCTTCCTAAAACCTGGTCTGCGGGACGGAGGACATCAGTGCCCCTTTTGCTTATGTCGCTTCCCCCTACTGACTTCTTTCAGTTTCTCAGGTTTCCCATACGCCTCCTCTCTCAGGACATCCTCAGTGCTGTTGCTGCCTTCCTGGTCTGCTGCTGCATAACCAGCTGCCCACAACTCTGTGGCTTAACATAGACTCAGTAGACGCTGGGCATTGAGTAGACTCCCGCTCATGGTGACCCCAGCTGGAGCTGAGGGAGGTTTTCTAATGGGAATTTTACTGAAGTAGATCACCAGGGCTTTCTTCCGAGGCACCTCTAGATGGACCTTCCGTCTTCCTGTTAGCTACTCAGTGTGTTAATCGTATGTACCACCCTGGGATTGTCGTGACTTAATGGAACAGATGTTAGACTGTTGTGTGTCAGGTGGGCACTTCTGCTGGTTTGGATTGCATGCCTGTGGGCGTGCTTACGGTCAGCAATCCACTGGCCGGCTGGATGCTGATGCTCTACGATGGCCTCATTCATGTCCCTGGCAGTTTACAGGCTTTGAGTAACGATGGTCAGAGGCAACCGGCTTCCAGTAGATTTCTCATCCCCCCCCAAACAGCTAGCTGGGCTGCCTTCTTCCTTAAGATAGCCGAAGCTGCAGAGACCCCAAGGCCAGGCTCAGGGCGTCTTCCACATTCTATTGGTGAGTGGCAATCACCACTCGGTCACAGATCATTCTGGTTTCCAGGGGTGGGTGGGAAACTAAACTTTTTTTTTATGTTGATATTTGAAAGATCCAAAGTACTGAAGAGCAATGGTGTCTCTCTGGAGACTAAAGTGCATCTGATACAGGCCATGGTCTTTGCAATCACTTGTTAGGCATCAGAGAGTTGAACAATGACTAGGGAAGATAGAAGGAGAATTGATGCCTTTGAGCTGTGGGGCTAGAGAAGAGTATGGAGGGTACCATGGACTGCTAGGAAAACAAACCGATTCATCCTGGGTCAAACCTGGTGGCTCCTTGGAGGCAAGGATTCTGAGGCTCCATCTAACATACTTTGGACATGTTGTAAGGAGGGACCAGTCCTTGGAGAGGGACATC